ATATGGACTACATTTATGAAAAAACAAGTGCTGCAAAGAAGATGAAAAAGGACTGTGACGATTTTCGAGAATTCAGCAAGAACGCAAGTATTCAATTATACACTTTATGAACTTAGCATTAAAATTGTATATTTTAATAACCTTCATTTTTCTTAGAATCATTTATTTCATGACATAATTTTTATCTGGTGCTAATTTTTAATTTAGTTGAATTTGGTTAAGTTACTTTAAAAAACAACAACAACATGTTGCAATCGAAATGCCATGTGTTTCGAGGTCAGGGCCGGATGTAGGGGGTGGCCACATGGGTCGTGGCCCATGGCGTTTTGCAATTTTTTAAACGTAAATTGGATTCAAGAAAATATTACTAACGAGAATAGGCGACAAAATTTCTCATTTCCAGAGAGTTTAGTAAGTTCTAATTTTGTCGTCTTTCGGTGATGCAAGAGGCAGCACCTTTAATTAGTCGAGTTGAGAGAGAAACCAAACACGCAATTTGGCCTGGAACGGTGCGGCGCAGAGGGCAATGATGACGAGGACTTGAGATGAAAAGGAGAAGCCCTCGGCGTAGCGGTTGGCATGTAACACATATTAGCGCCTACAAGACTGCATGAATACTTCATGCATTGCATCAAACACAGTGCGGTCAGCGCGGCGCGGTGGCAGAAGTTAAACTTATAAAACCATATTTATGTTTGTTCTTTCATAATTTTTTGGTTCATTTCTTACAGGCCTTGTCCACATAGAGATAGGTTTATGGAACTCAACTTTCGCACAAAGTTCCGTGAACTTTTGCTAGTAGTGTTGACAGGGCTTTCGCAAAAAAATGTTTCCAACAAAAGTAGACGCGTCTTATGCACCCCTTTCCCTCCGGATCGTCCACTTGATGGTTTTTATTGATGTTTCAAATCGAATGAGAAGGGGCGGCAAAATTACAGGCGGCCCATGGGCGGCCCATAGTAGGTAAATCCGGCCCTGCAGGTATGACATTACCATGATTGTACACTTTCAATATGTATTTGGAACGGTAATTTTGAATGAATGAAATAGTACTTACACGGTTGTTTACAAAATCTCTGCTGCCCTGTTCCTGTCATTAGGACGGTTGTGAATTTTTCCCTAGTGCTTAGAACATCAGTTAAACATTTTAAGTCAAAAATTAAATAAAAATTATGGTACACAAATAGTTTATTTTGCTCAGACAAATAAAGCTTTGTCATTTTCTTTCATACAAGACAAAAACAAAACATATATTACGTACGATCAGAATGAATACTTGCCTTTATGATGTGAGAAAATCTTTAGATCAGAGTTTCAAGGGTTTTTATTCAAAGTGTGAAATAAATAAAAAAAAAAATCGCATGTACATCACACCCACCCCCGGGGCACATATTCTTTACTATATATTGTTTCTCTACTCACTTGTTTTCGTATCTTGACCCCATTACAGGTAATTAATGAAAGGAGAAAACATTTTTCAAAAAACTGCGGCAACAATAATGATGATATGAATGGAGATATTGATTGTCCGGAGTATTTACTAGACGCTATCCACAATTCTCAAGAAGACAGCATTTACACTTATTCTGACATGGATAAGATAGATGAGGCTTTAACTTTCATGGTCGCGGTATGTTTCCTTACATTTTATTTTTGGCACTGAGCTGTGCGCGTCTCGGGAGGTTGGACTGCGCAGCGGTCACATGGTGTGCCCTATAGTTGCTTCAATAAAAAGGCCATGCAAATGCATTTAGATTCATTTATAATAAGAAAAAACACACATGCTTTGTCTTTGCAACCTGGTGACACTTACCAGGTGTTGAATTTCTACACTTCTTTTTAAATGTAGTCAGACAAAAAGGGGCTTTAGACGGAAACTGAAGTTGAAAAATTCTTTTTCCAATTTTTTATACACAACGCTTCTCATCAGTCTCAAAAAAAATGAGTCAAAATTTTACGTTATGGTTTTTTCATTGCCAAAAACGTCCTAAGATTCATAAAAATGAATCACCTCTAACGCTAGCAGCATCGTTGCTAGGATGGAAGGTGTTTTTCTCGAAATCGCCGTGCTTTGGCTTCAAACTTTGAATTGCTTTCGAAGGGTCAATATTGGACGAAAATCGACAAAAAGACGGTCCAATTTTGAGCCGGTCGTGTAATGTAGATCTCCTAAAATTTTGATTCACATCAGAATCAAGAAGACCAGATTTTTCCACTTATTCAGAAATGACTGGCAAGGTCTCAGGTACTTTTTGACTGAAGAATATTTACATGTTGTCAATGTTCTAATTTTAATATAATTTTTTACAGGGAAGTGAAACCACGGCGCAAACCAACTGTTTTGTTTTGTTAATGCTAGCTATTCATCCCGAATATCAAGTGAGTCGGTAAAACTTATCAAATTTTGGATACACCTCGAAATTGTCGCTACTGCAGTTTTGACAGTTAAGGCCGTAGTTTAAGGGCACTACAGTGAGGATTGTAACAGATTAAAGCAGATAAAGCGCAGACGGATAATTTTTGCAGAAAATTAAAAATTAAGAAGCAGGAGTAATTTAACTAAATAATAAACGGAACTCAAATCTACAGTATAATGCAAAACAATTTGGAAAATCTCGTCACGTAAATACATAAGATTCGTAAACTGCTTCAATTGAAGCGTGATACCTCACGCGTTCCAGGGAGTTCAAATAGTTGTATCCCTGCGCCTTAGCAAGGCAATGGAAGTGTAATATGGAAGCAGCGTCCCCGCTTGGTTTCTTCGCTTTTTTCTGTGCCGCTACTGTAGTTTCGAATGTTAAGGCGTAGTTTAAGGGCGCTGAAGCCTGGGTTGTATTTAACAAAAAGATAGATTTGCAGAATAATTCAAAATTAAGCAGGAGGAGTATAATATAACTAAATAATAAAAGGAACTCAAATCGACAATATATTGGAAACAAATTTGGAAAATCGCGTCATGTAAATACAGAATATTCGAAAACGCCTTTAATTGAGGCGTGATACCTCACGCGTTCCGGAGAGTTAAAAAAGTTGTATCACTGTGCCTTAGCAAGGCGATGGATGTTTAATATTGAAGTAGCGTCCCCGCGTTGTTTTTCGGTTTTCCTGAGCCGCTACTACAGTTTCGGACGTTCAGGCCGTACGATTAGGGCGCGAAAGCCAGGATTGTGTTTCGCAAAAAGAAAATTTTACCAGAATAATTCAAAATGAAGAAGCAGGAATAATTTAACTAATTAACAAAAGGAACTCAAATCTACAATAAAATGCAAAAATTCAACTTATTTTAAGGACGCTAAAGCCAGGGTTGTACATCGCAGATGAATAGTGTATGCAGAATAATATAAAATTAGGGAGCAGGAGTAATTTAACGAAATAATAAAAGGTACTCAATTCCACAATATAATGCAAACAAATTAAAAATCTCGTCATGTAAATACAGAAGATTCAAAAATTCCTTCAACTGAATCGTGATACCTCACGCGTTCCAGGGAGTTCAAATAGTTGTATCCTTGCGCCTTAGCAGGGCGATGGATGTTTAATATTGAAGCATCGTCCCCGCTTGGTTTCTTTGGCTTTCCTGTGCCGCTACTGAAGGTTCGACTGTTAAGGCCGTAGTTTAAGGGCGCTGAAGCCAGGATTGTAATTCAGAAAATGATAATTTTTGTATAATAATTAAAAATTAAGAAGCAGGAATAATTGAACTAAATAACAAAAGGCACTCAAATCTACAATAAAATGCAAAAAACTAACCTTGTTTAAGGGCGCTAATGCCAGGGTTGTATTTCGCAAAAAGAGGATTTTTGCAGAATAATTAAAAATTAAGAAGCAGGAATAATTTAACTAAATAACAAAAGGAACTCAAATCTACAATAAAATGCAAAACTTTAACCTAGTTCAAGGGCGCTAAAGCCAGGGTTGCACATCGCAAATGAAGAATGTATGCAGAATAATTAAAATTAAGCAGGAGGAGTAATACAACTAAATAATAAAAGGAACTCAAATCTACAATATAATGCAAACAAATTCGGAAAATCTCATCATGTAGATACAGAAGATTCGAAAACGCCTTCAATCGAGGCGTGATACCTCACGCGTTCCGGAGAGTTCAAATAGTTGTATCCCTGCGCCTTCGAAAGGCGATGGAAGTTTAATATCGAAGTAACGTCCCCGCGTTGTTTTTCGGTTTTCCTGTGCCGCTTCTATAGCTTCGACCATTCAGGCCCTAGTTTAAGGGCGCGAAAGCTAGGATTGTAGTTCGCAAAAAGAAAATTTTACCAAAATAATTAAAAATTAAGAAGCAGGAATATTTTAACTAAATAATATAAGGAACTCAAGTCTACAATATAATGCAAAAGCATTTGGAGAATCTCGTCATGTAAATTCAGAAGATTCGAAAACGCCTTCAATTGAAGCGTGATACCTCAAGCGTTCCGGAGAGTTCAAATAGTTGTATCCCTGCGCCTTAGCAAGGCGATGGAAGTTTAATATTGATATAGCGTCCCCGCTTGGTTTTTCGGCTTTCCTGTGCCGCGCCGCGTCGAAATAGACAAGGATTAGAAAACGGGACTTATCTCAATGTGTTTTTTCCAAAAACAGCGTATCTGTTCAAGGATGAAGAATATTGAATCATTTATAGTCCGTTTAAGAGCTGTAAGGTATGTTAATTAGCAAAAAGAAGGGGCTACGGAAGGATTTAAAATACTCGATCCCCCTCCTTCTTGCTGCCAATGATTATATTACATTCATTTATTAAAATCAATTATGAAAATTATCTCTACCAAGAGATGATAAATGAACGCATTCGATGAAGTCTAAGGGCAACATCAAATCCTGAAATACTAGATCCTCGAAAGCTTCTTCACACAATGAATTTGACAATATTTTGTATACAAGTATGGTAATATAATTTGAATGTTGAATGAGATCCACCATTCAAAACATTTTCAATGATCAAATGTTTTATACTTCATTTTTTGTATTGTAGGAGAAAGTTTTCGAAGAGCAGTATAATATTTTCGGAGATGCAGATACACCTATTACACCGGATGATCTGGATAAAATGGAATATTTAGAACAGGTCATTAAGGAAACCCTTCGCTTGTTCCCTGTGGTTCCAATTTTCGCGAGACATGCAGAAGAGGACACAAAATTAAGTGAGTGGTGGCATTTAAAACCTAATGGGTCAGTTACGCTGGTCATAGAATCGTGCCTTTTTTATATTTCATTCTTGTAGATATTGGGTAACTGAGTGGCAGCATTTCACCAATGCTAAATGCCCCCCTGCATTGCCTACTTCACCTTCATCCGAAAACTTTCATTTGACTCGACTTCAACAAATAGTCCAAACTAGACTGAGAATTGGTCACATCACAAATTTTCCCATAGCTATTTGATGACCCAATCAAACCGTCCTGCTTGCACTTCTTGTCTAAATTCCCCATTAACGGTAGATCACGTTCTTATAAGTTGCCGACTTTATAGAGATCCGAAAACGTTTTTTTCCCTACCCCTTACCCTCTCTTAAAAATTTACTTCTGAAAACTCATCTTGTAAAACTTTTTGAATTTATGCGCTCCACTAATCTCAAAATTTAACCTTTCCCCTCAACCTTTTTGTATTTTTACTGATGTAACCTTAATTTCCATGTAAATTTATTACTATTACTGCCTTTTTTAGAGGTGTAAATGGCCTTAGATGCTAAAGCACCGCTTTAAAATAAAATTATTTTACTACTACTACTACTACTTTCTTTCTTTCTTTTTTTGCTCTATTTTTGCTCCGGCAATTGTTTGCAACAGGCCCATTAGACTAATTTTAGGTGAATATGATGAAGCAGAGGCATATAACCTGGTTCGTTAAGTCATTTACCAATGTTGTCATGTAGTTGAAAGACTTTGTGTAGTCGTGGCTACTTACGTGCATGCCCTTGTCTGTTGGACATTCAGCAGTAAAACCCACATTTTGAGCTTTTTTAGGAACGGTTGCCATGTCTCAACAGTTGAAAATACTGTTAATACTGTATTATATAACTGTTTTCAGCACAAAATTACGTTTTGCCAGCTGGTGCAACTGCGGTAATTTATCCATTCTTCACGCATTATGATACAGAACTTTGGCCAGAACCAAACAAATTCAACCCGGATAATTTTACAGCTGAGAAAATGGCGAATAGACACAAGTATGCTTTCATACCTTTTAGCGGTGGTGCTAGAGGATGTATTGGTAAGTCTGCAAAAAAAAGGAACATTGCAAACTTTAGAGGACATTAATCGTGTTCTGGCCTCTATTTATTTATTTATATTATATTACATTTATTCATGCGGTAAAAAGACTTTTAGTCATTTTAAAGTCCTCTTGACATGCCGACACATTAGTTTAGAAAGCCTCTTTCCATATGTCAAAGGCTACAGATAAAATTTTCATGAAATGAGAAAGTGTCACGAGTAAAGCAGAATGGGAGAAATGTGCTGATTTTGAAGAATAAGCATTAAATCAAACACAATACCAATAAGAGAATTCTAAAGGCTGTTGACTGAAACATATAATAAAAGTTAGATTATAGAGTGTTTCCTGCTGAATCCTGCACATGAGACCGAGCGCATATCCATATTCGTTTTTGGGAGAGAGGTAAAAATAAGTCTATAGTCAGAAATTTACACCAACCCACGGTCGAAATACGTGGATTCGCACTTTGGTCATCGATATTAGATCAAAAGTTATCATATAGCGAGCAAACCTGATGTGCATATAGCTTATTCTTTCGATTTTATTCAAGTGCAATTGCTCTGTCCATAATAATTATGTTTAATTGAAATAGTGCGTCTTTTTTCCAATCATGCTGGCGTCATTATTTTTCGATTAATTCTATCCTTGTTTACAGGTAACAAATATTCAATTATGGCCATGAAGACAACACTATCTATCTTCCTACGGCAATTTCGAGTTAGCACAACTAAAAACCTTGAAGATATCGAAGTTTATCTGGACGTGGTGCTTCGATGTAAAGGTGGTTGGAGTATGAAACTTGAACGAAGACTAAATCAGAAATCCTAAAAATGTCCGTTATGTTCATTGATTTCTCATCTTTGCAGTCCTTTTAGACTAACTGTCCGGAGGACTCTCAAAGCTAACGGCTAAGCTGAATTGGCCAAATAAATAAAAATAAATAAATGTATGAAACTGGATCATGTTGATGTTTTGTCAGTTCTCTTGAAGACTACCACGACCTCTTTCAAAAAATTCCACACGAATGAAAAATATTCTTGCATTTCAATCACATCACGAAAAATGACCTCCGTCACAGATTCCTACTTGGTTTCTTGCGTTATAAAGATACATAAAACATGAGTACCAACATCACAAAGTTAGCAGACTGACCATTCTGCGCACTGAGGTGTTCCAGTAACACAGTGAATTTGTCCTTGTACAGTTTTAAGACGATTAACTTCACCTCGAGCTCGACAGACGCCCTTCTCAAGAACACGGAACTTAAACAATGCCTTCGACCTACAGATATTAGACTATCGCTAAACAATTTTTGTGGGTTCCTCTTCAAACAATAGAATTTATTCCACTAGAGAGGCGTGTACATTTTCCCACTTAACAGTGGTCTGCATACGGGTATCAACTTAGTTAGTTACTTTCATTCGTGTTGCAATGCGGTAAGTTTTCGCTCGAGGATTTTCAGACGAGGGCTAAAATGTATTTTTCGGTTGACTTTCTTCTTTCATGCGGCATAATTTACTCACTGACACTGGCACGAGCAAATGAGACTCCTAAGGTAGGTATTTCTTGAAATAAAATTATGATCCTCCACGCAAGACAAATGGCTGATGAACAAAAACTCAAAATTGAGTCACGGCGGGTTTCGGAGAAAAAGTATTTCGCAAATACCTTCTTTGGGATTCAAAAAAGTACCCAAAAAATGTCGATCTATGGTGGTTTGAAGTTTGTAGCGAAAAAAAGGAAGACTAAAAAAAGAAAGAAAAAAACATGAAAAAGTTTAATGGGCATGTCGTCATAGTGCACGAAATAATTGCAGAATTAATGCATACCTATAACTTTAAGCCCTCTATTGTCAAAATAAAAAGCTATACCATTACCACCCATAACTTTTTTTTCAGGTCACCAGAGAGGTGTTTCCTATCGAATTGTCAAAATTTTATTTTCTGATTCGATTAACCCTTTCCGGTCCGCGGCAGTTTTCCACGGCCGTCGTTAAGTGAGGTTAAGGTAGCAGCGATGTTGTCAACAAAGACAGTGGTTTCCAAAGGCTCCACCAGAGGCCGCCACTTGCTGGAGCAGTCGAATATACCCGATATCGGGCCTGCACAGAAGTTCAAACTTTTGGGCGACTATATCCGACATCGGACCTAAACGCGTTATTTTTCACGGCGAATATATCCGACATTGGACCGGAAAGGGTTAAAAAAATAAAGCTTCGCTGGAAATGCAGCCTTCGTGGGCTAGGTCACTTTTCTCGTTATTCAAAAAGCAGTGATCGCGATAAGTTGCGATTTGATCGGAAAATGTATCTAAATTTTATCGATGTCGATGTATTACAGTACCTAATATCGGATAAAAAATTGCAATTTTATCGCAATATTAATGAACAAAAAATCGTGATAAATTGAGATAAAATTTCGATTTCAACGACAACCCAGTCCTCTAGTCGTCTTTGAATTCCGAATTTGATTTCCAATTCGGAGAATGAAAACTCGGGGAAAAATACCGGGATCCGTCATTCTAGAGGTAGAACAGGTTTGCCACAAAATTTAGAAAATGAAATCCTCTGACATTTCCCTGACACGTTTGAGTAAAATTCCCTGACAATGGAAAATATGCCATAACGCCAAAAAGACGAAATTTGAAATAGTATTGAGGTAAAATTTGTTGTTCTAAACGTGATATGCATTTTAGTCGGCTAATAAAGGTGAATTGACAATTTTTCCCTGACACTTTCGTCAATTTTCCTGATATTTCCAGGTTTTCCTTGACTGTGGCAACCCCGGTAAAGGAGATTTTGAACAGCAGGGTGTCTACTATAAGATAGGCTGGCCAAAAATCAGTACTTTTACAGTGCTTTTTCAGTACATTCCCAAGAAATTCAGTACCCCCTCAACAGGAAAATTCAGTACTTTTTCAATACCTTCAACTGACGAAATTCGAAAATTTGAATTTCCCGCTTAAATTACGACAAAAATGACCAAAATCCGGACTTTTTTGCAAAAATTTCCGCACTTTTTCAGTAATTCCGGATCACCCTTGAAAAGTCAGTACTATTCTCGGACTTTCCGGACTTGTGGTCTTTGGTAGACACCCTGTACAGGTTATTGGAATCACGTGAGTTACGTTTTCATGTGAATTTCAGAGCGCAGAGAAGCCGAGGACTATTGAAGTGGACTACGAGGCGAAAACATTTCGCAAGGACGGGCAGCCATTCAAGTACGTGGCCGGTGAACTGCACTACTTCCGGATCCCGAGGGCTTACTGGAAAGACCGCCTCAGGAAAGCTAGATACTGCGGTCTTAACGCTATATCCACGTACGTTCATACCTTTGACCAGGGTGTCTACTACAGAGGCGGATCCAGCAATTTGGCAACACCGGATTTCCTCCATTTAAACCTATGCAGAATAATCGATTCTTGTCGGAGCACCTGGCCCCTAGAGGGCTCGATACATTTCCATAGATTTAAATGGAGACAAGACAATGTTGCCAACTTGTTGGATCCGCCAATGGTCTACTAAAACAGGCTGGTCAAAATCAGTGGCGTGACGTGCTTTGCGATATATTGATTGTTAAGTCATTTAAACCTATGGAAAAGGGTCGATAATCAGGTAAGTTCGCAGCGAACACCTTGGTAATCGATTCATTACCCTAGGTTTAAATGGCAGAACAGCGATATATCGCAAGCACGCCACGCCATTGGTCAAAATATGTACTTTCACAGTACTTTTTCAGTGCATTCTCAAGAATTCAGTACCTCCTCCAACAGAAAAAGTCCGTACTTTTTCAGAACCTCCATTTGACGAAATTAGAAACATTAGAAACAACGAAATTAACAACATTTGACAATTAGAAACAATTTCAAAAATTTGAAATTGCGACAAAAATGACAAAAAATTCAAAAAAAATTCCGGACCTTTTTGCGGAATTTACACACTTTTTCAGTACTTCCGGACCGCCCTTAAAAAATCAGTACTATTTCCGGACTTGTAGACACCCTGCTTTGACCGGGCAAAAATAATTACGTCAAGATAGGCAGAGGCGGAACCAGCAATTTGGCAACACCGGATTTCCTCCATGAAAATCTTTGGTAAATAATCGATTCTTATCGGAGCACCTAGACCCTCCAAGAATCGATACATTTCCACGTGTTTCAATGGAGAAGACAATGTTGCCAATTTGCTGGATCCGCCAATGAAGGTAAGCTGGAATATTTAAGGCATCGAGGAAAAAATAAATAAAACGATGGCAAAAGCGTCACGAAGCATTTTTGACGTCTTTCAATCTAACATTTCCACGAAGAGAATGGCAATCTGACAGTGAAAATTTCTTGAAAAATTAAAAACGGAACCATTCCGGAGGGGCGAGAGCGGTGGCGTGGCGTGCTTTGCGATATATCGATTGATCTTCCATTTATACCAATGGAAAAAGATCGATTAGCAGGGTATTCGCAACCAATGCCTCAATCATCGATTCTTTGTTATAGCTTCAAATGGGAAAAAATCGATAACCGATCATCCACACCTCGCCACTGGGTGAGAGAGTTTTCATACCATGAGGAAACCTAAGTCTTCGCTGGGATAACCGCTTTGGACTTACTCGCAGTAGCAGGTTAAAAAAAAAAAAAAAAAAAAAAAAAAAAAAAAAAAAAAAACCTATTGATTCTATCGACACGAATCGGTCGAAAAATGAAAACGTGAATCCATCCACGCCAATCGATCGGCGAAATGCGATTGCGGTTCACGGGTTTGTTAATTGATTCACGGATTTATCGATCGATTCATGGAAATATTCATCGATTCGAGGATTTGTCAATCAATTCATAGGTTTGTCGATCGAATTGGTGGCATCGCTGTCGATCGATACACGTTTTATTTTTTCATCGATTCATGCCCTGGTAAAAATTGGCAGTAGAATCTGTGTTCCAAATTACCATAGACTTAAAGCCGGCTGTAAGATTTCCAATAGCTTCTGTAGCCGGCTGTACAATTTCTTATAGCCTCTTATAGCCGATGGCGATTAAGCAACAGCCAGACGATACAGTTTATGCCAAACGTTACTAAATACGGATACTAGGACTTAGTGAGTTTTTGGACTACCGCTCTCTTTTTAAGCCGTAGTATCTTGATTTATTTTGCGAGGAAAGCTCCGTACTTTTGAAGGATTCCTGTCATTCTTAATATGTTGGAGAGCCTTAAATTTTTTATGATAATGTGCAATACCTCTGGTGTAAAATAGTTGCTTCAAACGCCGTGGAACGCTGTGGCGCGGCGCGGCGGGCGGGCAGAGAGCGCGAAACGCGCATTGGCGCCTACAAACCTAACAGGGATACTTCACGCATCGCGCAATGCGTGAAGTATCCCTGTTAGGTTTGTAGGCGCCAGTGCGTCGCCGCTCCGCTTTGTGTTAGGCTCTAATATTTAATCTCACGGAGTCAGCGTTTTTCAACTCATGATTTTGAAATGTTTGCACACTCTGAATGGACTATTCTCATTTTAATTGATGAAAAAAAAAATATGTTTTAAGGAAAATATAATGTGTGTTTTGTAAATATTAAGGTAGTTCCGTATCAAACTTAATGATTTCCAAAGCACACGAATGTCTACACAATTTCTTAGCCTTTTATAGCCAATGGCGATAAAGTGTAAAACCCGGGGATAGGAACTATAGCCCGAATGTATACTTTCTTATAGCTTCGTACAGCCTGGCTATATGATTTGCTCCGCTTTCTACAGCCAGCTATATGATTTTCAATAGCCCTTTTTGGTCGGCTATAAGAACTCCTATGGTATTTTGAAACGCAGCTCCTGTCGCCAATTTTTACCAGGGTGTCGATCGAGTCAACGCTTGTTTTTTAATTAGTTGTCGATCAATTCAAAAGTGTGCTTATCGATCGAATCAACGCCTGTTTTTATAATTTGTCGATAAAATCGCTGTCGATTGGTTCACGTTTTCATTTTCCGGTCGATTTAAATCGATCAATCCATAACCTTACGATAAAGCTTTATGAATTTAGACTTGAGGGATTCAATACTTCCATGACCCCAAATACTGACACAATAAAACTTTAAAAAGTGTTGTACGTGTTGACAACCTGCTGATTGAGGGAACTCCTTTTGTTGAAATCAAAAGGAATACAATTGCTGTAAATTGAATTATCGTTTTGAGTTCCCGATGAATTTTTCAGATTCTGGTACGTGGGACTCTATCTATTGGTCCTTAAAAATTGGATTTCATTCAGAAAACGCTGTAAAATATTTCAATTTCGCGGTAAACGAATTTCAATTTCATTTCGGTATTTCCGTTCCGTTGCAAATTGCTACTTGGGCATGGGCTTCTCATCATGGTATCATCGGTAGCTTTTAGCCAACGTTTTTCTATTGGAATCCTCCAGTGGCGTGGCGTGAATAATCGATTATCGGTATATCCCCATTTGAAGCTATGTCAAAGAATCGATTGTTAAGGTGCTCCGTGCGAAAACCTTGTACATCGATACTTTTCTACAGGTTTAAATGGCAGAAAATCGATGAATCGCAAAACACGCCACGCCACTGGGATCCTCTTGGGTGAACTTTTTCAAACCAAGTATCAGTAATATTTTTAAAATTTTCATTTATTTCAACCCTCTAGGTATGTTGAATGGAGCTCACATGAACCTCGACCAAATGAATTTGATTTCGCGGGCGAAAATGACTTAGTATCATTTATAAAACTAGCTCAAGAGGAAAACTTACTGGTTCTGCTTCGCCCTGGTCCATACATTTGTGCTGAAAGAACTCTGGTAAGATAGTACTTTTTGGCAGTTTTACTACCAAACTCACTAAGGAAGGGAAAAGGATGTGCAAAAACATACTTCTTCGCCTTTGAGCAAATTAAAAAATCGTGATGTGGATTGTACGGCTTCTCTAGGCCAGTAGCAATATCTGATTCAAAGAAAATAGGTGGATAAAAGTCAATTACAGTTATCAGTGTAACTTACTTTTTTTTGGGGGGGGGGCTAGTTATTGTTACAAAATTCTGTTACAGTACATAACTTAACTTCGTAGTTTCCGATTTTTTTACATCTCGATTTCTTGTTACGATTTAAATTGATGGAATCTGATTCTCGAGGAAAATCGACTAGATTAATCGATGTTTTCGAAAAACTCCCCTACACTACGGCGCACATTGGATCGAGTTAGTAGGAGAGGTCGGACAAAATTTGGAAACTTTGAACGCTTATAACTGCGTTTAAACGAAATTTTGAAGTTTCAAAAGTGGTTTCATTGGTTTCCTCGTGAAATTTCCTGCCAGAGGCACCCCTTAAAATTTAAAATGTGACGAAATAAACATCGAAATTTGCAGTTTCAGTCAAAAATTTCGAGTCCGACCTCTCTGAATGACTCGATCCACTGTGCGGCGGTGAAGAGCCGAAGTTTTGATCGTGGGAGGGAATTTAATATTGAATAAAATATTGGGAGAGCATAGAGCAACATCGCGGCCCATCGAGAGCAGCAGAACCTCTCGGACCCTCGGAAAACTCGTCCTGCCACTCTCTCGACCCCAAGTTCGGAAAGCTCATCAGTGAGTAGGAAGTGCCTCAGCACAGTACTGGGGGGCGATGAAGGCAGCTCTCCGAGTTGGAACACCGAGTGACGAAGGAGGCCCATCGAAGAACACCGTTGTTGATTCCTGGGTTATCCGCTTCGATATCAGGAATTTTGACAGCTGAAATGAAATTTTGCTCCGGACCAATTTTGCACGTATCGAACGGAGCGATTGGCAAACGGATCAATAATTAATTGACTTCTCTTTTCTACTGTAATTATGAACTTTTATTGGAAACCTGTGAGGAGGATACGTTTGCCTCTGCGCGCTCTCGCGGCGGAAGCTGGATGCAGCTCCGCCTTCGTTGAGGTTCAGTTACACGATCAAATTGAGCCGTCAAACTGAAGCTCTGGTCGGTGGAAAAAGACCTGAGGTGAGGATGCGACCAATGAGAGGCCCAATTTGATGGCTCAATTTGATCGTGTAACTGGACCTTTGAAGACGGCTCGTTGTGCAACCGTGCGGTTTCTCGGCTGAAGTTTGAGATACGAATGTATGTACTTACGAACCATAATACACACGCGTCGATAATAAACATAGAAACATACGGACTACCTCCTACTTATCTTCACTGCTATGTTTTGTTCCCTGTCTAGTCTACCTCAGACCTCACAATCAGTTGTAGATTAAGAGTGAGTCGGAGGGGGGGGGGGCAC